TAGAGAAACTGCGCGAAGTAGAATGATATCCATCTCACTGCTAAATCCTGTGTGAGTAGAGGCCATGCGACAGGAATGACTTCTTGGGAAAGTCAAAGGGAAGGAGGAATGGTGTATCTCAGTGAGTATTGATCACATCGTTCTAAAACGAGTATCACGAGATAGAGGATAGTCAGTTCTATATATTTGCTGTGTTTCCTGACTGAATGTGTGGAGAACATTGGGTGAAAAAAATAATGTTCAGCTGCATGTATTGGACACGGGGAGAAGTGGTGGAAGGGAGGCCCGTGCTCGCGCGCGCCTAACTACTTCCGTCGGAAAACCTGAGCATGCCTAACTCGGGGGTTGTGCCCGAAGACGAAAGTGGTTGTGCGCCAAGTCGTCGTCTCTACCTCTGACCCTCTTCTACTTTCCCCCCCTAAGATCAAGTCTTACCTGATTGGGAAGAATGGATCGATATGCCGAAGCGTAAGACGAGAGGATTGATGGCGACACCGCTTACTCCCCCTTTCCCCTTCGGGATGTTCTCCCTTCCCACGATTTCTATCATAGCTTCCCAGGACTCTCTTTGTGTATAGCATGATGTCATACCTCTAGAACTGACTTCTCAGTGGATTGTAGTCTTGTTTTGAGCCTACGAGCATCGCCCTGTTGATTTTCGGCCGAATTGTTTCAGTTGCGGTCGATCGGTCCGTGTGAGAACGGATGTCGCCTTTGTTGTAACTACAACTAACCCCTTTGAGGACCTGCGTACCTGCACTAGTGAGATACTAGGTCGACGCTAGTGTTTCAAGTTTGGAAGTGTGATTCAAGATAGTGAACATATAATTGTCGGTGAGTATCATCCCGATTTCTAATGTATATTCAATGCAAATGTAACATCATCTTATGCTATGTTTATGCTATGCTAATTCGACGCTCGATACAACCCAGTGATTCCCATCTTCTCTCCTCTTCTTAGTTCTGAATATCATCTCCCTCGTCGAGAGGTCGATAAATATGAATGAAACCTCAAAACCCAAATGGTTGTTCCACGAAATCCACTCCTCCCACTTCTTCATGTCTCCACGAAGACAACCCCACCACTCCGTTCCTTACCGTATTCACCATTCTCTCCGGACCACAAACGACCACTGCTATTCCACATTTTGGTGCTCTATGACGCATGATTCGATCCGCCGTTTCAGCCACTACACGATCTATCACCGTATCGAGTTGAGGACGCCGAGGTAAGATCTGGAAATTTGATAGTGGGACTGATCTGGGGTTGAATTTGTATGGTTGTGTGGTGGATGGATCAGTTCGGATACTTCCGTTTTGTTGAAGATATGCTTCTTTCTCTTTATCCGCTTCTGACAATTTCGGTCGAAGGTCTAGTTGGTCAAGGAGGGAAGAACGAGAATGATCTAGATGAAGAGTACGAGAAAGATGGACTTCGACTCTAAGAGCTACTGGAGGAGCTAAGTCTTTACCTCTTCTTCGACCTTCGATTGAAGTTTCTTCTTGATCTTTGGCTAAATTCACTAGGTCGAATAATTGAGGTAAAAGATGTCTGGCTTCTTTTTCCGTCTTGACTACCCAAATGAGATCCAAAGTTCGAGGTCGGACAACACCAGTGGGAGCTTTATGTATGAGGTTTCTGGCTACACCGAGAACGTGAGAGATTCCAGATCCACCACTGATAAGAAGAAGAGAAGTATAAGATTCGAGTAAAGTATTACCGTAACCTCCATAAGGACCTTCTATGATGACTGGAGCAGTACGAGCCGTGTCGTATCCATCAACGAGGGAGAAACGTTGATCTTCTCCGAATGCGGCTTGAAGGAGGTGAGCGGTCCAACCGCCAGGAAGAGCCTTGATGATCAATTCAAGTCCGTCAGTGTGGGGAGCGGAAGCAATGGAAAAAGGATGAGATTCGAGGTTGTGGGGATAGGGTAAAGATGGTATTCTTATTCTGACATGTTGACCTGCTCGCCAGCCGGAACCGATAGATGGGATGTTTATGTGTGTGAAGCCGGACTGAGGGTGAGGGACGAAGGTGGCGATGGTGTAGCGTGTTTTGATGAGGGAAACGAATAGTGAAGTAAGGTAGATGGAAGCACCAGCGATGCTGGAAGTGAGCTTCACCCCAAATTGACATCAATTATTTTCTAAGGACACACGGAGGATGTTTTGAGATCGAGGGAAAGAGTATACACTTACCAGTAAGGTTTTGCCTGATCTACATGAAACCCAAGTCCGACCAGCAGACCAATCATTCCGATCATGTGTGAGACCTAGTCGTGAGCTCGGGTGAGCATAGTGGTCAAGCGAGCTTACTTCGAATACACCAAACCAATGTTTCCGGACCCAAGGTAGAGAGGATATGACAATGAGGATCTGCGCCAACCAGCCAAGTAGGCCGAACAGTATGAATTTTTGAGAAAGCTCCTTTCCGAGTGCGTTGGCTTTTGCCCATTTATGAACTGTACATTAGTCAAGCTGATCCCGCTTATATGCTAGCTCATCTTTGTGATGAATGGTTGGAGCACTCACGAAAGAACCCTACGTGCAGCGTGGCGCAAAGAAACGCCGTCCTTCCGACCACTTTGTGGAACACCTTCAATTTCTCATATCCTCTTCCAAGAACCAAGCCTAACGGGCTGTTCTTACATCCGAGCAAAAAGACCAAGGGAATTTGGGCAGCACCTAGTAGACCAGTACGAGCAAAGTCGTTCCCATATCCTTTACCCTTCATTGTCCCTCCGACATCGGAGCGATACACCATACACAGGAGCAGAACCACGAGGTAAAGTAGGATGGCCGCTATGCCCGCGAGGTTGAGAGAAGTACCAAAATGAGAGGGAAGAAGGGTGAAAGGAGCGAGATAACGATACTGCGCATTGGGGATGTAAGAGAGGAGACTTCCTTCCCGGGGTGGAGGGGTAAACTGGGGATGAGCGATGGGAAGTTCGGGCTTTGAGGGATATCGGGTATGTTCCTTGTCGGAGTCTCCGTTGAAGGGATAAAAATCGGAAGAAAAGGTAGGAGAAGGTTGCGTGGAACATGGTCCGAGCGGCCGGGAGGGACGAGAGAGTGCGGAGGAGTGTTGATGGGCTTGAGCTAGATGTTTGGGAGAGGAACGAAGAATCCAACCGGTGAATAGACCTCCCCCACCGACCACCCTATGTCGCCGAGCAGCCTCCGAGAAGCTGGCTTTTTGAAGGTGAGTGTGGAGATTAGACGAAGGGGAATGAAGGAGTGGAGCGACCGAGGCATAGAGACGTGCGATGAAGGGAACATGAATGGCGATGATGACTAGCACGACTAGCAGGAGGACAGCCAGCCATAGTAAGAGTGAAGCGGTATCTGATCGTCAGATTACATACCCAGCTTTTCTGTGTTGCCCCAAGCCGGGCTAAGGGGAAAAGGGATGAACCGTCCAGCTGCCTGGCTGAGATTGGTCGAGAAGTCAAGAATAAGAACAAATGTCAAGGCGAGTAAAATGTGGCGATAGGTAAGATGGTATGATGAGAGACAACCCACTATCTAGGGAAACTTGTGTCAACTTTTGAGTTGTTGCCAGATCCACCGCTTGAGTAGAAACCGCCTCTCCTCCCGTCGTGGTGGCCAACAAGGCAGGTGACATTGTGCCCTAAACCTCCTCCAATCTCTACTCCCCGTACTTCGTCCCAGACGGGTCTTCCGCAAAATGTTCTTTGACAGTACCACTCTCGTTGATTACTAAATCTATCGGGATTATGTTTCAGGAGTTTGAGGTTCGTAAATCGTATATCGTATATCCAAGTTGTAGTCACTTGTGTCGTTAAAGAATGTCGTCGTATATGGTCGTTCGCATGAGATTGAGTTAAAAAAGATAGACAAGGGTCGGTACTTCGACAAACAAAAACGATAACGTTCAACTTTCCAGAGTGGGAAAACTTGAATCAAGGGTTGTTGATTGATTCCAATTTGTATTTTTGAGACATTCAAATTCCCTATCTAGTACCGAAATCAAATCGTAATGATATGTTTCATCCTCTCTCCTGAGTATTTTCGGCCCTTTCGCTTCCCGTCGGTCGTCGTGTCGTACGTTATGGGTAACACCTCGATACCGTAATACCGTGAGGCGAAAAGGGGAAAGGAAGGAAGTATTGATTGATTCCCGAGATATGTAAGGTTCAAGGATGTAGATCTTCGTCTTCTACCTTGGAAGGATACTTTGAAGTGTTCAATCTCTTGGTTACTTTTATGCTGTGATACTACAGTACCAGGAAGGTCAAGTGGAAGGCATGAGTTCGTATGGTCGTGATGATCGTAAAATGTAAGTGTAGAGTACAGATAACAAGAGTAACAAGGAAGTAAGAAAATGATGGGAGTAAAGTTGAAGGTGTGAGGGGATTTGTTGGGGGGTTCATTGATCGTCGTTATCCTAACCAAATCACCAAAGCGGTATGCGGCGAATGTGGTTCTCTACACCGCATAGACTTTCCGCATTGGTTATACTTTTTCTCAAGGATGATGAAGCGTAAAGGGTCCCAAGTACCTCCACCAGGTCCGAGAATATGTATGGCGGATATCGCGGAAAGGTTGGGAAGACAAGAAAGAGAGGGAAGTGGGGGGGGGGAGGTTCGTTTTTGTTCCTGAGACTGGATATTCAATGTGCGTTTCAGGTCTCCTTTTGTGACTTCGCTTACGATGAAATGAATCATGCTGCATGCTGCATGCTGCACATGCTAGGTTTACTATCCGTTACTCACACAATTCAACTGATGACTCATAGCACCCAAATGACACCTTGATGCTGTGCATTGAAGCGAACACAGGAGCTTCAAAGTTGACAGGATGAAAAAGAACACAAACCACACCCACGCCGTGCCTATCTGCGGGTGACATACAGGCACCGGCATCACACTAGCACAAAGTGAAGATTGATAGTTTCGGAATAACCTCTCCCCAATTGCCCCAAGACGACGACAGACAACACCACAAAGCTGCATATGTATACACGAACAAAAACTCATAAACTATCAAGTAAACATCATATCCATATCCTCCCTCCCTCTTCCTTCCACCTCTACCTCTCTCGCCGCATTTTCATTCACCTGTTGACCCACACCGCCCACCGGCATGTTTCCATCCAAGAATTGTTGAGCCACACCACCATTCCCATTCACAAGCTGTTGAGCCAAATCCAACCTCTGATGCATCCCCGGAGCCAACGTCGACAGGAAAGTATCGTTCATCGGTGTTGCAGCTTGACTGAGACTTCCGAATTCTTCCCGGTTATCAACGATCGGTAACGCATCCACCAAAACCGAAGGATCTCTCACCGCTTCTAGTGAACCTCTCAAAGCCGGGTCCGCATTGAGACGCAGTACATCCAGAGCTTGATCTTCCGGAACAGATATCATATCCACGTCACTTCGCGGACTGGAAGGGGCAGGAGCGACAGCTGTAGATTGACGAGCGAGTGCGAGTCCAGTGTCGCCATTGGCAGTGTGATTACCTTCTTCAGAGCTGATACTTGTGCTTCCGGTCATTTGGTGGTTCACGTGGTTTTCATGAGGTGGGACGGCGGTGGGGATGGGTGGAACGGGGTCTTGTGGTGCTGACAGACGGGCGGAGTGGTTCGAAAGTCTGCGGGAGATGACGGATGCTCGACGAGAGGCATTCTCCCAGGCGTCTTCGGCTTCGACGTCTTCTTCGAGGTTTGCGAATGTTCGCTGAGATCAGCATGAGCGACTTCAAATCTGAAACTTGTCTCATGGTAACAAGATGATGAGGAGAAATCAACCAAGACATGTCAATTAGAAGGTGCCAACATAGAGGTGCACTACCACCGAGCAACATGAACATTGAAAAGAACCACGATAGACGACCTGATGTACTTTGGAAATAGGGCGAGAGTCTCTGAAGGAAGACTGAGCAGTTCACTCACACATAACGGACAACAAAACCCAGGGTGGTGCTGCATCAACAAAGGTCTTATGCACTTGTAATGGAACACATGTGAACAGGGTCTATCCCATCAGCTCCACACTCAACCAATCGACAACGTAACTGACGCGATAAACAGTGATTGGCACACTGTGACCGAGAACAAACAAATGCAACAGTCGGTGACGCTCGCTTTGCCTTTGCGTGTGGATTGAGGGCTGAGGTCCGGCGCTTTGCCTTTGCTGCTGGGTGTTTCGGGTTGACCGCCGAGCGCTTTGAGTTGTTTGAGAGCGTTAGTGCTGGATATCAGCGAGGGGTTTCTCATATTCATTCATTCAGTCCGCGTATCTTCCCCCGCAATGTCTCATGGCAAGGTCAGGTAGTCACGAAGAAATTGTGAGGATGATGGAGACGGATGTATAGAAGAGGACTTTGAGAACCCACTTGAACTCGGTCGCCGCCCTTTGCCATTCTCTCCCCAACTCGACCCTCATCTTGACACACCTAAACTGATCCTCGTGACCACCTTGATAATCCACTCCCAGTTGCAGAATGTCCCCGTCCTGTTGATCAGCTTGACAAGCCGTATTCCATAAAGCTGACTTACATTGATTTGCGTGGGCCGGGATTCGGTGCTAGGACTAGAGAGTCGAATATGGTTGAGAAATGTGCCCGAGCTACTGGACGTATCGCGGATGAAGAACTGAAGGTCAACTCTCTCATTCAAGAACGTCGTCGAGGTGATGTGCGAGAATGATGAGTGACTGACGAGACACGTTAGTGGTATGCGAGGCGTAGAGAACAGAGAAGTGATGAGGAATGATATCAGACCAGGCTGTGTCATGATTGATGGTCGTTGATAGAATACTTACCTTTCCCCCCGGCTCACACCAAATCTCGGCATGACTCCGACTGACGACCTTACTCTTAAATGCTACTCTCCCCGAACCCACATCTCCACCCCCTCCAGCAATTGCCAGAGCCGGTGCTGGTCCTCTAGAATTTCCCAGTGGCCCCGACATGGTCTTATCTGTAAACCTGCCTATCTTTAACAGGCAAGCAGGTGGTCGACCATTGACCAAAGGTCCAGTAAGGTCGATCCCTGCCGAAGCCGCCGAGGGAGTGACACCTGGTGGGACAACGATGGGTAGAAGTTCTCTCACAACGGGATCGAATGCGAGTGACCTGGACGTTTCGAGATGAGGTACCAGACGGATGCGATACGTCTTAGACTGCGAATGGTCGGTGGAAGTGGATGGGCCGGCGTTTGCGTCAACTTCGTTTTGGTCGGAACCAGGAAGCAGATTAGGAGGTGGGAGGTTGGTCAATGCTGATTTGGTCAGTCTGTTGTATAACATCGACGATTGGATGATGATGCGAAGTGTAACACGAATGAGCATAGGGAGCAATGACATGTGAGATGAGAGCAGATCAAAGCATGAGAACAACGGTAAGATGCAACGATAGGAAGGAGAAGAGAAGAGAAGGAAAGACTGACTAGCACTGGCCGCACCGCCTGCGAGACCACCCTGGACGGGCGTAGATGAACTCCTTGTGACCCCATCCACTCCATTAGAACCTTGTCTCGAACCCATCTGAGTAGTGTCGACCCCACTGGATCCATGCATGCTCTGCACGGGACTGAGAGGATTACCAAGCTCCACGCCTGGACTAGGTCTTCCTCTTATGGAATGGTTGATGGTAGCTGCACGACTACGAGTGCGCATGAAATGAGGGAGAAAGGAGGTTCGGGGTGAAGTCGGAGAAGCTGGAGTGGCAGTTGTTATAACGGAATGTCCCGGTGGTGAACCGTTTGGAGACCTACCTCTAAAAGGTGAGGAAGGGAGAGGGATATGAGATGGATGAGCAGGACGAGACATTTCATCTATTTGTTGTATATGTCCGATCGGTTCGGGAGAGGGTGTGAATCGGGTTTGATTGATCGATATTTGAGAGATTTGAGAGAAACGTCGAGAAAGGGATATACGATGACGGTTGTTGGTGGCGTTTGTCTGATGTTGAGTTCCTGGATCGGATGTGGTAGGTCTAGCACGTATGGAAGGTGGAACGGAAGAACGCGATCTGGGTTGAGAAGATATACAGAAAACCTCTTGAATATGTGCTGGTATTGAAGGGGGTGATCTGGGATCAGGTGGTGAATCTTCATCTAAAGTGAGATACGGATGTTCTGAGACCGGGGAGGTATGGAATGCTGGAAAACGAGACATGGTGAGCTTTTGAACGGATGTCAAAATCATCTCTGGATACTGATGATAGAAATGGGAACAGTCACAGGGTATTGAGAAACTACAGAAGGGAAGAGGAAGAGGTAGGATGGAAGAGAAGAAAGTAAAAGTCCATAAAAGGTCTGTAGGAGTGTTGGAGGTATGTACGAAATTCGGACCAAAGCGGTATAGTGAACACGATTACCCCCACTTCTTCCTGAGACCTGAATCGTCCCTGACACGATCACGAAGAGTTTAACCCAAGAAAGGAATAGTGAATAGGGTGGGAACAGGGAGGGTGCGAATCATAGTCATCATGATCGCGATAGAAAAAAAAACAGCAGCATCCGAAAGTGTCAAAGGCCGTTGGTCGTTTATCTCCTCTTACAGTAAAAGGGGGATAGAAGAGGGCGTAGAAGTTGCACATGCCGCTGATGTGTGTGACGTACTATACCATCCAAGAGTGAAGAGGGTGAAGTATAAGGACAAGAAGAAGACCCCTGCTCTGACAAGAGGGAGTGATGATTAGAAATGCATCACTCTCAGATCACCGAACGAATCACATGAAGCAGGAATTGATTGACCTAAGACATGGATTCATGTTATCACTGGCGATCTCGGACAAGTGAGAGACAGAAGAGTGGGGTTTCAAGATACCATGGTCGATGAAATAGAACGACTCACTAGTTTCGGATGCGAGAAAAAAGATTGCTTACACGGCAACACGGCGACACCGCAATTCTCGGCTTTTCCACCTAAAATCGAACGTGTATCGTAAATTGTCGTGGGATCGTGGACCAAAGAGGATAGAAAGTGGATCTGATCAAGCTTAACAGAGGTCAAAAAAGGGGTATATGTACAAAAGTCATATGAATCCGCTCATGTTGCTAAGAAAAAGCGGGAGGTAGCAAGATGAAGATGGAGGCATTTTAGTACGGCTGAACCGACGGAATTCGGGGTTTTTTTCCTCCATGTCTGACGCAATGCTTACTTTCTCCGTCCTCTCTTCTGAAGCCTACCCTATCATTCGGCTTCTCTGATCTCTGACTGACTTATGCATAAAAGGCATTGAAAAAAGCAGAATGACGGATGCCTCGTCATCGACATACATCATTCGTCAATATGCATATCCTTCAACCCTCCAATGGTCCTTCCACCTCATATTCATCCATGATCACAATGAGGTCCCGCGTTATCCATAGCTCCAATCCCGACGAACTCTTCCTCTTCCAATCCCCCAGCGGTTGAGAGATCCGGGCGAGTAGATGCCTCATCTAGGAGGAGTAAGCCGTGTGATATGGCAGCGCTCAAGGCGTGTAACGTTGACGTGATGTAACTTTGCATCAGCCGTCGTTCTTGGCACTACGAGTATTGCTCATAAAGAGACGTTCCGGTCTTGTCACTAGAAGACGAAAACGGCATGAACAGAGAAAGAGGGAGAGGGCGAAGGTGAAAACTTACCCCTCATCCATGACTAAACTTTTACATCTCCTTATCAAAGCTCCTAATCCCGATTTGCGCCTGACGAAAACCACCTCCCTTTCATATAGAGCCTTGGTTGAATCTGTTCGTGGCGTTTTCACCCATTGTAGAATTCTCAAAGGTCAATTTAGGTTGTCGTCCATTGATCGCGCCAGGATGCGAAGAGGGAGATAAAGGAGGTAGAGGAGGTGCGAGGTGCGAGTTCACGTCAAGGGATGTTTCGAGAAGAAGAAGGACGAGAAGCTTTAGGTTTGCGATGTTTGCTCAGCTGGGAGGGACCTGCTTGTTGCTTAGCTGTCGTCTCGACGTCCATCTTGGCAGTTCAACTTCTCCTACTGAGACCAAAGACTAACTAGCCTGGCTGGCCTAATCGATGGCGAGAATTCTGATCCCGTGTCAATGGAGATGTGGCGAATGGCTTTAAGGGCCAAACGGGCCGAGCCCCAGGGCCATGGGCCATGGAACATTGCAGACGCTAAACGGTCACGCCTCGAGCTAAAGAGAGAAAGAGGAACGTCTAACTACAAAAGTCTCATCGCCGATGCCGATGTCCGAAGGGGTTGTAGTACACACTTCCACCTTCAAGTCTGACATGAAAGAAAAAGTTGTGATCGTCGAAAATTTGGACGAAATTTCAATTGGAAATGGGTAACAAAGGCATCATTGTCCCTCCCGATTGACGCCACATCAAGGCGTGAGAGCAGAGGGGAGGAAACTGCGCATACGCCCCTTACGTCTCTGCCTCTCTGATTCTCTGAGCCCCATGCATTTCCGGGTAACTCTGCCGAAATAACAATGAGACTTTTCCACGCTCTCTCTGTAAATCCATCCCATCGCGACATCGATCCGAATTTTTAAGCTTTTTCTCATTTCCCCTATGTCCCGATTACCTCACCCCTACACCTCGTCACTTTGACCGAATTTTCATGTGACAAGACAAAGATCAAAGAATTAGAAAGGAAAAAGTCGAAATTTTCATTTACGAGGAAAGAGAAATTCGAGACTTTTTTTTTTCGGTCCTTTCCCTTCTGGCTTGAGATTTCGGGCTGTGCGATGAAGTGAACGCCTCTGAAATCTGACATCCTTTCTGAACTTCCTGTCTTTCATCTTCAACTGCGACCTCTCTACTCTCTCTCTTCTCTCCCGCATACTCTTCTTCTCCATCTCGATATAGCTCTTATAACATTCGGTAATCCTGTGAACGTGACGACGATTCGACATTTCGGCTAGACGGGAAAAGGCCGGTTTGTGTATTCCCCCAATTCTCTCAATCCCCAACACGTCTCACTCGAACATTTTGATTACATACGCATTCCATCGAAATTTCACAAGGTCACACCTAATCTTTGTCTCATTCTCTTCATCGTCTCTCATCTTCACTTTTCAGGAGTGAAGGGGTTTGAGAGATGAGCGGTGAACTCGACGATATTCGCAAACCTTCTGCAAATGATGTTCACCCAGTACAGGTAAGCACTTCTCTTTGTTCCAACCATATAACATCGGTGATTGTCATCTTGACACTTCACACCGCGTATCTTCTATATTAGACTTGCCTGGCTGTGCACTCATCGTCAAGTCCATGATACACTCTACGTCCACTGGCTAATACCATAGACAACGCCTCAGATGATACCCAACAATGAACCACATAAAGACTTTCCCCTTCCTTCCCTCTTTGAACCATGCCAACATGGTCATGGTGACGATGAACATCAACATGCTATCGGTAAGTTCACCGTTTTCTCTTCCATCAATCTTCTCTTTCTTTCTCCCAGCAGTGCAGACGGACGGAATCTTTGTAACATGTTTGAAAACTTCTAAGAAAGCGGCAGTGGTGACACGGGCGCCTATACAAAGATCATCGCTGACTCAAAAGACTTACTTCAGTTCGCCTCTGCGAAGCCACCAAACCCACCCAGACACTCAGCGCCCGCTGTTGTACCCTCTTCAATGCCGAACGGTCATCCCGCTTCGTCCCTTACGGCCTCGCGGCCTCCTCAAGCCAATGGCCTGGGTATCAACGGGGTCGGACCTCCAGGCAAAGCGAGAAGGATGAGTTCTTCCACTCAAGGAGCTCTGGCAAGGGGAAAGTTGGGTTTGACGGGAGAATTGTCCAATGGGAAGGATATGTAAGTTCTCTCATGCCATATTCATCGACGGTCTTACTGTCGTCTTCTTTCTGCTGTTGCTGCGGGGTCCATTCGTAGTATCACTTGGATGAAAGGGAAGACAATGGACTGAACTAACAATCAGTCGTCCTCCTGGTGCTACCCTCGTATCTCCCGCAACTGCCTCTTCGACACGTATTGGCGCTCGAGTCGGTACATCACCCACTCCTCAACTCTTCGACTTCTCCAAGACTGATCGTAATCGTGTCGGTTCGGGCGGACGTACAGTCTCAGCCTCAGCTGTACCGGCTTCGTTACCTGTTCGCGGTCCTCTAGCACGTCACGTCCAAAGCCCACCGTTAGACGATATGGAATTTGACATGGAATTCGAGGACGATGATGACGGTGAAGTAGAAGGGGGCAGCGGGAGGAGTGGGAGTGCCGAGATGGAAGATGCGGACGTGGATATGGGGGACTTGCAAAGCCTGGCGCTGGGCACTGGTAGCGGCGGAATTAAGGGTAGACGGAAAGGTCACATTTACAAGTGTCTCGACTGTGGAAAGGTAAGTCGTCGAGGTTGCAATTCCCCATCCCCTTTGCTCACTATTGCCCATTGGCTGGGCATCAGAAATAGGGAAGGTGACGTTTGTGTCCGTGGTCGTGTGTTTAGATCTGTGCTGACGACTAGCAATATAGACACCCCATTTGTCTCACCAAACATCGATGGGAACATACGCCGTTTTGGAAAGAACCCAATCAGCTTAGCATGAGCAAACATCAACAGGTTCAAGCCCTTGAGGTGAGTTCGCTTGGTACATTGTTGACTCCCCTCTCTTATTTTCCCCTCACCTCCTGATATCCACTAAACTTATGCTGTCCCTACGTATCCTCCGCTTCCTCGTCACTCGTCCCGCCTTTCTCCGTTCTGTCATATTCCTTGCAATATCTTCTGACCTTCAGGGAGCTGCTATTCTACTTCATATGAACCCTGCTCTTGCAGCAGGACGATCCCTTCCTGTCGACAAGTCCCTCTGGCCCGCCATCTTATCACCTGCAGGTGAAAACGTCCCTCTACCAGGTCGTCGTGCTTCTCGCGATGCCTCCATCTCTGCCCGATCTCCCCCTTCTTCCGTCCTCCTCCCTCTCACACCTTCATCCCTCCGAGAACCTTCCTCCTTCGGGGGATTATCAAACAAAGACAGAAAATCCTCTCCTTCGTCAGATACGACCACATCCAGTATGGGAGCTTCTGAACCAATTGTCCCCCGTCCTAATCCTGCTCAATCAGACGTACTCAATTCAAGCATACGAACAATCCCTGTAGGGATCAAACCTCGTTCAACATCTATCGTCAGTGGAATGGGATTAACAGGTATCAGTCCACATTCTCAATCAGTAGGATCATTACCAAACGCAATGGCTGGTTTACATTTCCGTCCATATCCTACTCCCTCGTCAGGAATGGGTTATAGTCCTGTGCCTGATAGAGGAATACCAATGTCTTTAGGTGCTAGGGCGGGGTTAATAGGAGGTGGAATGTTTTCAGTTAGAGAAGGACATAAGTTGTCTAGTGTGAGAAGTGGAGTGAGAGGAACGGGAGATGAAAAGGAAGACGAAGGAGTTGATTATGGTATGGCGGGGGATATGGAGTTATGAGAGAAAGTTTTCTTCCTTTTGTTTTTCTCTTGGTGGCATTGGAGTGGGATTTGGTTCTTGATACTTTTTCAAGGTATTTTATACTATGTCGACCCAACGGTTTTTTTGTCCACGAAGAGGTACAATGGTGGATGATACAAAGGTATTGATGAGGAATGAATAGGAATGTCCAAGAAGAGAGCAAGAGAAGGGAATGCCAGAAGGAATGAGATACGAGCTAGGAAGGGAAATGTCAGAGGAAAGATTAGTTTGTACGGTGTAAGTGAGGAAGCATGCTACGAATATCAACTGCAAGTCAGTCATTAAGCTTGTCATTGTCGATTTAGTCTACTAATACCTCTGCTGACTTCTACTGGCTGATTTGGGCAATGCTGCCGAGGACATACTCATCATCCCCTCCAAGGAGGGAAGGTCTTAAGTCTTCCCTACTCGTGGCTCACTCTATTGACCCATTGGATCACTTGCTTCCTACCTGATGACATGACGGCGTTCACAATCACGAGTAAGCCGAGTATCTTTTCGGATCGTTAGCTACCTCGTCCATCGTCGACGTCATTAGCGCGACCGAAACTTGCACGATCCAGACAATGTCTACCTGATCAATTTGTATGCATTTTCTTCCAATTTCTCTGTGAAACATTGATTCAATATGGCTACATAGATCTTCGTGTATATAAACAATGTCCTCTGTACCTTCTTCCCTTTCCTCAATTCATATTTTTAGCCCCTACCCATCTTTCCTTCAAGCCCACTACATCTCTCTTCTCTGCAGACCCACTAGGTGTAGCACCCGATCCAACCGCAGTGAAAACGCTAGTCAAAGACGTAGGCAAACTAACACTAACATTGACTGAAGCCGTCGGTAAAGAAGTATTGAAAGGAGTCAAAGTCGTATTTCCCACTTTAACAGTATAAGGATAAGTACTATTCACTGCTACTTCTGTAATGTTTGTAGGAAGAGTTCCATTTATCGTAACGTTGAAACCTTCTGCGGAACAAGTTTGATTAAGGTATTGAGCAACGGTGTAATTCTTGATTGTGTAATTATTAACTTGAGGAACACTTTGACTGATAAGATCGAATGCTGCGAAAACACATGAATCGCATATTGCCGTAGGTGGGATTTTCTCTAAAAGTTGTAAAGCTGTACCGTTTCCACCAAGAGCGAAAGTATCGATATAATAGTTTGTAAGGTTTGCATCGAGATAAGTCGAGAATTCAGTGGCGAGAGAAGTTAAACAGAATGTACCGTTGGTAGTGTTGTATGAAGTTGTGTTGGACCATGAGGAAGAATTGGTTGTGTTGTATGAAGATGATGGTACGGTGGTGTTGGTGCTGGTGCTGTTGGTAGTGTTGCTGGTGGTTGAAACGTTGTAAGGGTTGGAAGTTTTGAGACAAACGATTTCACGGGCTAGAGGATATAGAGAGACTATGGAATAAACGGTGGAATTGTCTATCTTCGCCGAAGCGAGGTCTGTGGAGCAACCGGACAGAAGAGTGGAAGTCGCATTCGAAAGGGTGGAGTTGGAACATGGAGAAGAGGAACAAAGTGTGGAGAGATAGTTGTCAAGAGTGGGGAGGATGGAAGAGTTTGTAGTGAGGACTAGAACGTTAGCCAAAGCTCATACTAAGCATCTTATGTCCCTCGATCCCCACTACTGCCCATTGCGTTTTGATCATATCCTCCCTGTCCGACTTTGAATGCCGGAAAACGAAAAGTATAGGGTCAGTCGGGGTATAAAATGATTACTCACCAGGTAAAAGAGCGTCCAGTTGTAGGCATTGTGATAAACTGGAATTGCGTGCAAGTTGCAACACCGTTTGTTGACAATTGGGTGAAAGGCTTCGTGTCAGCTCGAAAGTCCAATCCAAATCGTTCTCATCCATCATCATCATTGACCGAATCCGCCCTCCGATCCGAATGACCCATGAACTACCAGCACTCAGACTGCAGACTGAATAGTAGTCATGGTGACTGCGGCGTTACATGACCAGGGGAGATTTGTCGAAACGATCGTCGCCACTTTCGATCGAACAGTGAAAATGAAACTCACTATGCTAACCCGGCTTGACCGATCTCCAAAGGAGTCCCCACTTTGGCGTACGCACTCAAAGCGGATAACAGAACGATACCGGTGGTTTTGGTGGTAACGCGCATCTTTTGATATCCTCTGTGAGTTGAAGAGTCAAGATGGAAAGAAGAGTTGAAAGTGGGAATTGAATGCTGTGGAGGATATAAGTAGTGGTACTTACTACGTCACATGGCAGTGCACAGGTGGGGGGATATGTGGGGGTGGGAGGAAGAAGGGTACCGTCAGAGGTTAGGCATAAGGCGAGAGAGCGGAGCGGAGAGGCAGAAAAGAAGAGAAGAGGAAAGAGGCAGTGTGGATCTTTACCCTAGTAGCTAGTGCCCTGAAAGACGGACGGGAAGACGGGAAGGCGGTCATTCGTCACATCAATCATCTCTGCTCGTAGCAGATTCCTCTAGATCTAACCCCAGCCCAGTCGAGGCTGATAGCTTGGGGAGACTGATGCCAGTTGGTGCCAAGGGATGGACCTGTATAGAGATGGGATGACAAGAACGGGAGTGCATACGAGCACTTGTACAGCACTTTACCCGAACATGCTGAGGCACCAGAGGATATGAAATTTCTCTCGCAGGAACGTCATCGCCTTGTGAAGGTACGATTCGACCGATGACGTATGAACACAACTTCCATCGGAACATCGGCCAACCGGCGACTTCGGCGATCGGATCTGGGTTCCACGTGTGGCACTTCAATCATGCAATCAGCGCATCAAGTCCTCACATCCCAGCAATCGCGACCAGTTCATAAGTCGCGATACATCATCCCACAGTGAAAGAAACTTCTTTGTGTCGCGTACCATGATGGAGCCTCTCCTCCCTATCAAATCCAGTGAGAAGGCCGATGAGCATTTTGTTTCATCTGAAAAGGTTCATTCTTGCCTCTCATAGATGTTCGAGACTGATCAGCCAGCCCCGTCGTCCCCGTTGGCACCTCCCCATCGCCCTCCTGCTGGGCTTTATTTTATTCACAACCACTCCACACTGGCCGTCTTGTAACCCCTGGAGAGCCGTGCCCTCCCTCTCGGAAGATTTCTACACCCATTGCAAATCTCTCCTCATCCCTCCTTCTGGTACATACTCCCACAGGTTGGATTATCTGAGTGAAGTGCTCGGGAAATCAGTGTGGATAGCGGAACCGGGTCCTTCAGTCGAATACTTCCTTGGGGGTTTTGGTAAATCTGATTGGTGGTTATCTGAACGACCATTATTGGTAGTAGTGATACCTCAGTCAGTCTCCGTCTCAGGCACTACCTCTTCCTCTTTTCTCGCCCCGATCTCGTCCGATGGGACATTTATCTCGACCGAATCAGATGGCTCGACTGACTCAATCTCTATCCTCACCATGAGGACGAACAAGCAAACAGCGGTAGAAGGAGGACCAAAAGTGATCATCCTCACCCCACAATTCGAAGCACTTCGAGCAAGTGAGATCTCTCTTCCTGAAGAAATCCAGGATAGCGTTAAATACGTGGCTTGGGAAGAATCGGAAGATCCTCATGAAATCCTTTGGAAAGAGCTCGGACCACTTGAGGTCGACGGAGTGGTGTTGGATAGAGATGTGAGGGAGTTCGTTTCTTCTGCTGTGAGGGAGCGTGCGGGTTCAGGAGGGGTAAAGAGCTCTATAGAAGTGGAAAGGATTAGGGAGAAGAAAGATGAGAGGGAGGTGGGGTTATTGAGATGTGCGAATCAGGTGAGTTTGTCAACTCAACAAACATCTCTTTTTTCTCTCATTGTCACCTTTTCGCCTCTGAGCTCCTCTTATATGTCACTCCAGGCAGTCTCTCTATCATTACCTCTGACAGAACGAAGACTTGGGGCAAGGGAGAAGAGAAGTGGGAGATGGAGAGCACGAAGTAGGGTCGACGAAAACGAAAACGCTGATATCAGATGACCCTTCATGCCATTCGACAAACACGAGCCAAGATGTACATAGGTATCACCGAATCAGCAACTCGTACAATCCTTCAGAAATACATGACCGCTTCTGGGCTACAAGAAGCCGATGGGCTGGTGCTTTTTGGCGAAAATGCGGCTTTACCCCATGGATCAGGGACGGATCGACGTTTAGGTAAAAGGGATATGATTTTGATTGATTGTGGAGGGACTTGGGGAGGTTATACTTCTGATATCACCCGAGTGAGTATCTGGTCGTTCTCAAGGATCACTGCAAACGTCACATACCCCTTTCTCGACTTTCTCGTCTCCAACCTTCCCCGTTCTCTACTACCCATCTACAGAGTTCTCTTACCGGTATCTGCAGATGTTGTCTTATCATTCATTATCAACCTGACCTTCAGACCTTCGCTCTGCCATCTTCAAAGATTCCTTCGGAGCATATCCGACTCTGGGAGCTCGTCCGACAAGCTCAACAAGCCCCATACGAACTCCTCAAATCTTCATCGACTACCTCCCCTCCTCTCTTTTCAGCGATGGATCACTCCGCCCGCTCTCTGATTTCCTCCCACATGTCTCGACGTATCGTATCCACAAATTCTACTCCTACGCCCGATTTCACAGTCTTCACACATCGTCTCGGTCACGGTATCGGGTTAGAGGGACATGAACTCCCTTATCTCGTCTTCGGTAACGAAGGCGGAACTGGACCCGGTCATGTGTTCAGTTTGGAACCTGGAATCTATCTTCCTCAAGATGCTGAGCCAGTGCATGGAATGAAAGGTGTAGGTGTGAGACTAGAAGATTGTTTAGCTGTCCTTGAGAAGGATGGACAGTTGGTAGGTGAATGGTTGAGTGGACCGGTGGAACGTTGGGGGGATGTTTAGCATTGCATTGCATCGGAGTTCGCTGGATTATGGGATATGTTGTACATATTAACATGTTTGAATTGTCCATGAAGTGTAGCATGTAGCATACAGTGATTTAGAATAAGCATGACATGTCTTTGATTTTCGCCGCTCACAAAGTCCGGAAACCTGGTTTCAATCATTTTGATGTTGTACTTTCACTCTCTTCTTCCGACATGAAAACTCATTCTGTCTTCATCTACTATACTTTCGAGGTTTCTCCTGTCGAGTAGACGGCTGATAATTTGTGAGCATGAAGCCTGAGACCTGTACATGCATAAGAAGGGGCTGATCCACCCAGAGGCTTCAAATCAGCCACGACCTTTGGCCCATCTCCACTTCACACACTTTTCTCTTCTTCCTTCACATCCCATCTCAGGCTGATTGGTATAATCCATCGTCGACAAGTCCTTTATCTCCATTCGAGGAATCTTACTCTTCCTCTGGCCTTCATTTTCCATCGGTCTCCGATCGCACTTGTACTGTTTGACAAGATACCTCTTTGACAATCGAACATCGGTGAAACAGCCCAAATCACGGAATCATGTCCTCAGGAGACTCAGACGATGTTCATGCTCCTACATTTGACACTCCCTCTCCACCCCTTTTCCCTCCCCCGACCCTCCATCTCAGTCCTCCTAGAAGATCACTCCTCCAACAACCCAACACCCGTCCTAGGGGTAGTGTCCTAGATATCATCAACGCTCGTCGACGTCGACTTCCTATGGAATCTGACGATCCCATTATTGCAGATACTTCGCATGACAATGATAATCCACGTCGAGGTGTCCGATTCCAAGATCCTCCTGATACCGCTAGACCCAATCCTTTCCTCGATGGTGAAACTCGTCGGGATATATCACCATTTGAACGACGCTTGACTCGCAATCACGATTTACTCGCTGGGAGTAGAGAAGGAAGAGAAAGAATAGATCTCACTGCTTCATCATCCAGATCAAGAGCACATCTTACTCAACCACGTTTAGGAGGTTCTTCTTCTGATCTCGACCATTCTAACACTTCACAATTACCCGATGTTGGATCATCTAGGACTGTCGACAATATCGTCATGGGTGATGAAAGTTCTTCAAATCAGGGAGGGGGGACAATTCCACTTGATGAAGATGATGATATCGAATCTTTGTGGCCTATCCGTCCAAACAGGAGAGTTGGAGTAAGGAATGAGAGTCTAAATGAAAGAGTTGTGGAACCGGGTGGATCTACAAGACGAGGGGTGACGTTTGAGGTGGATGACAATATCCCATTGGGTCGAGGATTAAGAACTCTCGAGGCTCGAGTCAATGCATTGAGGAATGCTGCACGTGCCCAACGCGCTACCTTCGGACTTTCAGGCTCTACAGGAGGGAGGCGTATAATGGATGATGAACGTGGTGACAGTGGAAGGGTTGGACCATCTGGTACGCGAGCTACTATTGGATCTCACAGAATCCAGGCTCCAGATGATGATGAGGTGGTGTATACTGGTCGAAGGGAACGAGCCGGTCCAGCAGATGTTGAACGACCGGAAAGACCAGATTATGGACGAGCTTTGAGAGGTGCGTCGACTTTCTAATTACTTCTTTCATCTCATAAGGCATAACTCTCTATCACACTCCTCACACGATTCATCACACGCACTCAGAAATTATAATTCTGATATTACTTGGACTTTCTACGAATGTGACATCGCGTGGGCTGATCAAATCCTTGCTCCTCTAGAGAAATTACCAAAGACGTCCGATGGATTCTACCATCACATGATCAACGCTGACCTCCAAGCAGACCTCGATCAATTACTCGACCAACGCGCAGCAGAAACCAGGGCTATCATCAACGCTGATAACCGCGATACCCGTCGTGCCGTTCTGTCTCCTCCACCTATCCCCACTCCTCCGGCTGAACGTAGACGCGCACGATTTGGTGGTGCAGTCCTTCGAACCAATGGTCAACAAATACGTTTCGCTCCTCCTCCACCTACCGAAACCCAACCCCGCGCTCGTCCTCTCCACGCTCGTTTGACCCGTCAACTTCCCGTGGATCCCGATTCCTCCGACGATGGGGGTGAATATGCTCCCCCTCCACCAGGCGTAGGTGATGACGAAGAAGTTGGAAGATTCAGACGGATTCTAGCTCAACATGATCAATATCGAGCTACCTTTGGAGGATTCGGAGCTGCCATCAATCGAATTTGGGATTACGCAAGAGGTGTCGGTCCAGCTGATCCTTATCGTGAGATGATGCTTGGTGAACGCGATTTCCTAGGTTTTCAAAATATAGGTAGGATACCTAGAAGAGAAGAACCTATGACGATTGTTGCAAGAGTCAAAACTCCAGAACATGAAGATTTTCCTGGTTTCAGGGATACTTTTGAATTACCCCCTTCACCAATCACGTTGGACGAAAATGGTAACGTCATACCGAATAGAAAGAAACATAAACCTTTTATAGCATGTTGTTCATGTGGTGATAGACTTTTATTATCTTCCGCTTATCGTGGACCTGAAGATAGAGTTTGGGTTTTGAGATGCGGACATATGATGGATCAGAAATGTTTGGATAAGTTGGCATATACGAAAAGTGAAATAGTGGAGGATTTACCTGTGTTGGGAGAAGAAGAACATGTGGGGAAGAAGAGAAGGGTGAGAAGTACCAGGAAACCAAAAGTTGTGGTGGATAGGAAAGATTGGGTTTGTCCTGTGAAAGGATGTGGGAAAGAACATGTGAGCGTGTGTACGGATGGGGTTTGGACACAGGATGAAGAAGAAGGAGCTTTTCAAGCGTATGCTTGAGGGTGTTTTCCTTACAAGCCCTCTTCTCTTGATTCCATCGTTAACCTGCCTCATCTTAGGGTCAAGACAAGACAACTTTGAGAAATCTCAGGAATGACCCTTACCCTCTCGGTTACGATGTAGTGGAGACGATATGATGAATCCGGAGAATGAAGAATTGTAAATACCTATCAATGCAGTTCAGATCAATGTATCTCTCTGTTCATGTTGCCCCTTAGCCCAGCATGTGGAACCGATACTGAATCCGACATGAAATCGTTTCTGTCGCCTGGGTGGTGACGAGTTGCGATTTCCCCCACTTTCAAGTGGGGAGAACACTTACTGTAAGCTTAACTACTAAAACCCGTTCTCAACACTTCATCTCTACCTTCGTCCTTTCCCTCTGATTCTGCTTGTTGAAAGATAGAAAGGAGACGAAGTCATGACAACTACATACAACCCTAAGTATCCTCAACCATTCACATTAGCAGAAGCTATAGAACTCGACGTCTCTACCATCCTAGCTGGTGAGTTTGAATTCTTCCCTCTGGTCTTATCCCTCATCCACTTGTGTTCCGATATCTTCCCCTTCTAGATCTTTCTTTCTGGTAGACCTCATTTCTCATGAATCAACAACTACTAGAATCGTGTTTTCTCTACGCGACATTAAACTAGGACAACCAGACAACTACTTAGGAAACACATTCTTGACGTCCTTTTCTTTTCGCTCACTACTCAATACTCGTTTGTCTTCCAATGGTAATAGTACTCTAGTGATCAAGCTAGCTTCGCACCTTATCCAGTAACGCTTGTAATTATATGCGGAAGTATCCAAAGGAAAGAAAATGAGTTGATTGAAGAAATCTCAAGATTACGAAATTCTTTGCATCACCTGGAAGATTCTCAACGACAATTGAAAGACTTTTTATTAGTGGAGGATGAGGGATCAGAAGGGGAAATGAGAAGAGCTATAGTGGATAACGAGGTAACGATGTGAGTTTAATTCCCATTATCAATCTTCCATATCCCTCTCACTCTCAATCTTTGCGTTGAAGATGGCTTCCTACCGTCAGTTTTGGTGCGTTTTTGGAAGCCAAGGTCATTTCTGATCCAATCTTGTTTCCACCTCTCCACTCTGACTCAACTTTAGAATCGGTACATCCCAATGGAGAAAATTGTCATGAAACTCTCCTCCTACGAGGACTGTTTTATTTTTTGTCTCAAATGCAACCCGGAGGAATTCCGAGAGAATATCATGCGTTATCGGAATGGCCAGTTGTCCTTTGGTAGTGTGAACAAAAGGAAAAGTTTGGCTCACGTCAGTGCGACACAACAAGAACGAATAATTCTACTTCGTCTGGCTTTGCAAAACAAAGTAGGAGAAGAGGCGCTGAAGCATTACGGTCTTGAAGTGGTATCACCCCCAGATCTAGAGACTACCACACCGACCGTCCCACCTGTGAATCCCCCTGCCCATACCACACCCCTGCCGCCTCCGCAACACGAAACCCGGACCGTCAGTAATGGACAAGAGGGGATGTATCTATGATACCACCACGAAGACACTTGAGGAGAGCAAAACAACGCGTACCAATGCGGAAGTGACATGAGATGACATTACTTTGACTGGAACAATTGATCAGGATTGTATGTATGTGTCACATCGTATAAGTCGATTCTCATAAGAGAGTTTCGCCCAGTGCCGCCCGGGTGAGGGAACATCCGACTGCAATGGTTTGAGAGACTGCTGAAGAGTCAAGTAGAGATGGATTAACTTCCTACCTGGGTCAGCTACGGTTTCGTCTGGTTGGATGGGATCGTGTGAGAAATAAAAATGAGAAGGTAGAGCAAAGAGCACTCACCATAATATCTAAAGATACCAACAGACCTGTTTCCGCGATCGCCTCGGTTATGTAGTGTCCCTCGCGGAAGGTCAGACCACCTCGTACGGGCGTTCCAGTACCTATCTTGTCAATTCCAATTCACCATTGGCTTGTTCTCCACCTGTGAATCCACTCTATCCATGCGTTGACTCTATGAAACACAGAGCAATCCCTGAGCGTCTAGACACGGTATCCGTGTAAGGGGGAACAAATCTGAGGGGAGAGACAACTCACTAGGAGCGACGTCCGGGTCCAAAGCATCAACGTCGAAACTCAAATGAACAGGTTTATCCCTTTTGGGGTTCACATGGTCCAATGCCATCTCTACGACCTTTCCGATTCCATACTTGTCCACTTCATGCATGGAGAATGCCTTGATACCATTCTCTCGCAAGATAGCTCTCTCCGGTGCGTCAATATCACGCAAGCCGATATATACCCTGAATGTCAGTTGAGCTCTTCTCCTGTCTTCATCGCGGTCCTCAACTGCCCATTTGACATATATGACTCCAGCTGATTAGACATCATAGGAAAGTTAGAGTGATTGTTTCCATACTGATTTTGTGATCTGGGTTGGGTTTCTGGAAACACTCACAGTTCTGAAGGCTTCAAACATGGTTTGAGCCAAGTCGAAAACGGCTCCACCGCTGTACCCGTCAATCCGAGCAAAAACGAGACTGGGCATCCGTGAAGATTTCCAGAATCAGTGGTTTCAGGAGTGTTGATATCCGCATGAGCGTCGATCTATCCTCAGAACTGGCTACAAGTGCAAATGGCGACAAACTCACCCATATCAAACACGCATCGGGGTATTTGGATTTGGTACCGGAAACCGTACCCATTGCCTATTTAGATCAGTCAAGTTATCCCTCTCAACCCTCCCTTTCACTCCTCACATTCGCTTCCGTGGCCTTCTCAACACCACCTTCCCTCCTAAAGCTGAAAAGGTCTTGCTTGGGGGAAGGACAAAATAAAGCTTTCTTTTGTAGGAAAGATGAGACGTACCAAAGAATGATCTCCACCCAAAGTCAAAGGCAACCATCCCTTCCCTGCGATCTCCCCAACTTCTTTAGACACTTTCTCACATACAGCACTGACCAACCGAGGTTTCTTCATTTTACCAATATCAGGATCCGGTAATTTCTGTATCATAGTGGCTTTCTTGGCTTGAGGACTAGAGTTTACAGGAACGTTCACCTCCACTTGCTCATGGATGGCTGCACCGAGCACATGTGGGGGAGCGGGGTTATATGGGATTTCAGAGAAATGTAATTCTGATTCGTAATGAACTTCCCAACCGAGGTTGAAGAGTTGGTCTATGAGACCTGCTGAGACAAGTGCGTTTGGTGCTAAATCCACACCTGCTTTACCTTGACCACCACTATCTATGTCAGCTGATTCTCAGCCAACTGAGATGAATGAGAAACCTGAATGGACATCCTACGATCTGGAATGTTAACGAAATACCAGCTGAAGAGGATGTGAAAGGCGGAAGAAAGTACTCACGGCTACGGTAGCTGGCTTGGAGAGAAATTTGAATTCGTACCCAGGTGACATGATGGCGTGAAGGTAGTAGAGTTCGATGAGATGAAGAATAAAGAGACCTCCGGTAACCGAGCGCCTATATAATGCTTCAGATACGAAGGCTTGTATGAACCTATCGAGAAGAAGCCTATGAAGAATGGAGAGGAATGAAAGGAGAAACACAAAAACTGTGATCGGCCGGATCTTGGGTTGCGGGGCTCCACATCCTCCACGCCTTCACCCAGAATTAGCCTTCTATCTACTACTCAGTAACGTCTGTCTCCTACCATCGGGTCAAACCCCCCTTCGGGTCAACCCATCGATTGATCGAAATCGTACTTATTATGTGGATGCATACTCTCACCTAGACACTCGTAAGAAAAGGATTCTCCTCCTCAGTGTCCTCATTGACCTCATTGTCCTCATCATCTCGATTCTCTTCAAGCTCTGCACCTCCGCCAGTGTCTCCGGTACCCCCAGGAGGTACTTTACTCTTCCCCTTCTTCCTCTTCTTCCTCTTCTTCCTCTTCTTCTTCTTCACATCCCTCTCCGCTTCAACTGCTTGGACAGCCTCCAATACTTCTTGGGTAGTGAAATGATGTGTCTTCAAGTTCTTAACAGTCGGTCCTACTCTTTTCCGCTTCCCCAATTCCTACCCTTTCTCTCAATTCCCTGATCTCCCTCTCCAGTACCACAACCCGAGCTTTAGCAATTTCTCCTTATAAACATTCGTTGAGCAATTCTGCAACATGGTTTTTGATTGAACTCTGGTCGGAAACTGAGGTAAGAGGGGTCCGAGGCACTGCACAAGGTGGGGTGACAGGGCAGTTTGAAAGCGAGGAAAACATGTCAGGAAAGTGTGTGCAGGACAGAAGGGCCATAGACCACTTTCTCGAAATGCGGATTTGATATTACATGGGGTCATAGCAGTGGTTCGAGCTAAGACTAGGTAGATCGACATGTGCGCTTCCGAGTCAATGTGGCCGGGCAAAGCGCTATCTCCCTTATCTCGGAATTGAATCCCGACTCACTTTTCATGGGGATATCGTAACCCAACTATTTCTCACTAAATTGATTCTTCTGACTGTGCTCACCGCATTACTTCAAAGTCGTACAACGTCGAGTATCCATTGTCAAAGTCGTACATCATCAACATTGTACATCATCAAAGTCGTACATTGTGCATTGACAAGTTGTAAGTCATGCACTGTATACTGTCCCAGTCTAATTATCAGAATCGTACATTGTGAAATATCTGTCATCAAAACCGTACAGCTCGTCGAGTATCCATTGTCAAAGTCGTACATCATCAAAGACGTACATTGTGCATTGACAAGTTGTAAGTCATGCACTGTATACTGTTCCAGTCTAATTATCAGAATCGTACATCGTGAAATATCTATTGTCAAAGTTGTACACGACATCGTGACCTGCTGTCAAATTGTACATTGTGACCTGTTGTCAAGTCGTACATTGAGTGTACATCATCAAGTTCGGTCAAAATTGTGCTATCTATTGTCAAGATCGTACATCACATACATTGTTCGACCTATCGTCAAGTCGTAAATCGTGCACATTGCCGTGTATCTATTGTCAAAGTCACAAATTGTGACCAATCTTCAGAGTCATTCATCTTGAAAGTCGTACATCGTGTACATCATCGAGTATCTATCATCAAAGTTGTACATTGTGTACATTGTCAAGTACCTATTCTCAAAATAGTGATACCTACTGTCAAAGTCGTATATTGCAATCACGCACATTGTCAAATACCTATTGTCAAAGTCACAAATCGCAACCGATCTTCAAAGCCGTACATCGTGCACATCATAGAGTACCTATCAAAGTCGTACATCGTGTACACGATCGAGTACCTATTGTCAAAGTCGTACATCACACTCACGCACATTGTCAAGTACCTATTGTCAAAGTCGCAAATTGCAACCTATCTTCAAAGTCGTACATCGTGCACATCATCAAGTACCTATCAAAGTCATACATTGTGTACACTGTCGAGTACCTATTGTCAAAGTCGTATATCGCAATTGCACACATTGTCCAATACCTATCATCAAAGTCGTACATCATACACTGTCTATTTCCTCACTCTCTATTGTCAATTGTCATTATCCACTCTCTATCGTAGATCGTACCGTACATCGTCCATTGTCCACAGCCTATCATCATCATTGTTTGCTCTTCATCGTACATCGTACCGTACACTATCGATCATCTGAGTCCAACTCGTACATCACACCTTGTACATTGTCCATTGGAGATCATACCTAGTTTACCATCTATCATCAGCTGTCCAAATCGTAAATAGTAATTGTAAACCGTCAACGTAAACCAGCATTGTGGCACGTAGTCGCAAATCAATGACATTGTACATTCCCAAAATGGACTCGGTTGGTTCTTCACCACTGTCCTCAGCTGGCCCACCAACACCAGAGCCTGTGATTCGGTCCAACACTGAGACTGAGGCAGAAACTCAGATGGAAACTGAGACGGAGAGCATTGCCATGACTTCTGGAACAGAGTCTAAGGGAACAGGAAGTGATGCTAGTACTGGCGAGAGTGAATATTCAGAAGCCGGTACAGAGTGTGAGTTGCCTTTCCATCCCCTCTACCATTCTGGCCACTTCCATCCCCTTTACCGATCCATCTCTGAATTCCTCATTCCTTCTAAGCCATATTTGGTACATGCTGATGTCTAGCTTCAGAGGAATTCACTGTGGATCAGATTCACGACTATGATCCAAAGTCTAAAACATGGCTAGTTCACTGGTTGAACTACACATGTAAGGATGATTGTTGGATACCCCTCAGAAGGAGAAGGAGAAGGAGAAGGAGAAGGAGAAGGAGAAAGGGGATGCTGGATGTCATACATCACCTACTTGCCACCTAAGATAGTCTTTTCCCATGTTCCCACACTTGAAACACATCTGGAACACTTCCCCTGACCCCCTTTGGCTTAGGTTTATTGTTCTTGATCTCCATCAACATTCCCTATTGTTATCTCTTACACTCCCACACATGAAATACTTACCCCTGAACCCCTGTGCCTTTCATCTATTGTTCCCCTTTGTGTTCACATGCTTGACACACTTACCCCTTGACTCCTGTGTCCTCTGTCTATTGTTCCTTGTCGCACCCATGAACCTGGAACAGTTACCCCTGGACCCCTGGGTCCTTTGCCTATTGTTCTTAGTTTCACATGTCAGGATTGCCAATTCTCTTGAAGAGAATTGCAAATATGTTTAGCAGTTCTTCCGTAGCTTATTGTCACGAGACCAACTAACCAGCATTGGGACGATATAACAGTGCCCTTCAGAGGCAGCGGTCTAAACCACTGTGCTAAAAGGCCTAGTAACCGGCGGTTACTGCATACCGCCGGTCGCTGGTTAAATACCCAACCCATCCTATCACTATCACTATCAAACTGTCTTGTCACTTCGTGACATTATGCCTTCTCTTTCAGCCCCGTCTCGGGGCCCCAACAGGGAAGGGCCAAAAACTTTCTCCGAGAGGGAGGTTTTCCAAGTAGGGACTGAATTTGACCCAGCCCACCCTGGGAGTCGAACCCAGGATCCTACCCGTAACCGCCGGTTAATCTGTCACGAGACCAACTAACCAGCATTGGGACGATATAACAGTTCCCTTCAGAGGCAGCGGTCTAAACCACTGTGCTAAAAGGCCTATTAACCGGCGGTTACTGCATACCGCCGGTCGCTGGTTAAATACCCAACCCATCCTATCACTATCACTATCAAACTGTCTTGTCACTTCATGACACTTATTGTTGTAGTTTTGCAGTTCAGTGTCACGCCTGCGGGTAGACTGCGGTTGCAAAGTACTGCCTTGGGTACTGAAGGGTCTTAGTCTCTGGCTCGTAGAGCTTGATGACTGCCTTAGGTACTGAGGGTACTGAGGTGTTGGGTTAGAACCAACTAGGTGACTTTCAAAGATGAAGTTCAACTTCACGATGAAGATACATTGCTGAAGAAAGAGGGGGGAGATGTGCTCCTTTTATACCCTTCAAAACTAAAGTAGGTGTACTAAAGAAAAAGTGTGTGAGGGATTTTCTAGCCAATCACATAAATGCCTCAAGGTGAGTGCACCGCGGGAAACTAGATCCAGCCAATCACATAAATGCCTCACTGCTAAACTGCTGAACCTTCCAGGCTTCAGCCAATCACGTAAATGCCTCACTGCTGAACTGCTAAATACCATGACTCATATTTTCCTTCAATCCTTATCACAGTTCCTAGCATGAGTCATATTTCCTTATCACTATTCTTCTGAGCATGAGTCAGAATTCCTTATCACTATTCATGACATTCAGCCTGTTTTGCTGTGGACATAAACCCCCTCCAAACAGGTTGTTCCCCACCTATGAATCTCATGTTGAATCTCATTCTCAACTTGTCAGTCCAGTCAGATCCAGCCTGACATCTTGCAGTTCCCTCAGTACCTACCCTCAGTCCCTTGTCACCCTCTGTATACTCCTCAAGCTCTACAAGCCAGAGACAAGTATCGGGTTACAGCCCCATCTCAGTCACCTTGCTTACCCTTTGGGGATTAGACCCCGCCCGTGACACTGGAGCAGAAGGCGAGGCAGAGCTGTCAGACCTTGAGATGACCAATGTGGTGAAGAAACCCAAACATTATCATTTTGAGTTTGAGAATAAATTGTGGGACTTGGAGTCGGACTTGAACAGGAGGAGGGAGTCCTTGACTGAGGAAACTAAGAGTGAGTTTCATACACTCAGGAATAAGTATTCCCAGGCGTATGTGAAAAGCTCTGCTGCTACGGGGGAAAACGCAGGGGATAAGTGCAGATTGAGAGAATTGGAGAAAGAGTACTACATGTTTTTGAAGAAAAATGCCGAGGCCTAGTAGATAGAAAGATGAAGATGGTGATTCTGCTTCATGACTGACTCATAGAACCCATTGAACCGGAACAAAATTTGAACCACATTTCCGGACTATCAGAAGGACCATCATCTGTGTCTCGTGAGTTCCATTCTTGTCACCATCACTCATTGGTCACAAATATCCTCATTCATTTCTCACACCTGTCAAACTCTATGTGGCACACCCCTGTCAGGTGTTGCTCAGGGGATGAGTTGGTATGTGGCATGTCTTGTTGACATTGCTCAGCCAACCCGGCAGGCTCATCTGTATCCGCTTGTTCTCTTCCATGTGGCACACTCCTGTCAAGTGTTGCTCAGGAGATGGGGTGGTATGTGGCATGGTTTGTCAACATTGCTCAGCCAACCCAGCAAGGATTCATGGTCTCATCTTTGACTCATTCTGTTTCTTCTTTCCATAAAGCTTACAGATGATAGGTTGTACACACACTCAACGGCGAGCATATCACCATTCTCTCATCAATACTGCTCGTCATGAGCCCAATCTCCAAACTCCATCTGCCTACATTCCTCAACTCTTAGGTCTTGACCATGTTGGTGAGAAAATCATTGTTCATGTTTGTCAACCCCACCCACCATGTCTTCATGTCATCAACAATATTATCACTACCAATCTCCACAATCCCAATTGTAAAGGCTTTATATCTTTACCCAAAATTACAAAAGCCCTCCGTGACAATCATTTATCACCTCTCATCCAACTTCGAGCTGGCTTCAACATCCTTGTTGACAAGACAAAAGGGAAGGAGGGAGAAGTCTTTGGTGTGGTCTATTACCAAAATCTTAAACATCTCAGCCAGTCTTCAAAGAATGAGGCTCTCAATATCATGCGTCTTGTTGACCTCATATCACGTACCAACAACAACATCATCAAGACCAATGGGGCATCCCATGCCAAGGAGTCAAAAGCAGTACCTCATGGAGTGATGGCATAGTATGGATGGCGCAACTCTTTTGTCCCGGGGGAAGGTATCACCCGCTACAATCCAAAACAGGGGAAGGGGGTCCAGCTTGAGGAGATCAATCTGGAAATGCCAAAGGTTGCCAACTACTTCGACAGACGTTCCAAGATCTTATTTCAAGCAGTGTTCAATGCAACCCAACCCCATGCTGAAGATAATCATATTCCTCGTTTTGAGGTACAAGCTACTGACTCAGGGCTATGGAAGAACACTCCAGGTGCCAACATGTTCTCCACTACTCGGGGTGGTTTCTCGAACACACCTCATCAGGCTCGAGACACCTCTCCATTCAACATTGGACTATTCTTTGCTGGAGCTGTGAGAGAAGGAAGGTTCAGTGGAGATCTGTCTCGTGTCAGCAAACAACTGCATGGAGGTGAATTCTGGTGGCCCGAGCTTGGAGTGGTAGTGGGACATGCTCCAACAGATGGGTGGGCTGAGGTTGTCTGGAAGGGACTCACTGATCTCCATGGGACGCTCAGCTGTTGGTTACATGAGGGAGCACAAATTAGTGAAGTGGATAGGTGGGGATCTTCCTGTCAGATCACAGGGGCTTCTCAGAATAGTGTGCTGCTCATGTGAGAAAGAAGGGACTCACGACCCATGTAGTTCTGTAGATGATGCAGGTCGGTTTGTGACTTCCAAGACTGGGAGAAAAGGTAACCCCTGCCGCCTCTCTTCATCCTCCTTGGACAGATCCCGTCAATCTTTCTGTCTCCCCCTTCTGACTTGCCTGCCAACAGTCTGAAGTCTCTCCCAACTAAATCCTGGTCAAAATGCAAGACTGTCAAGTGTTTTCACTCGTGACACTGCGACAAATGTCAGACCTCCACTGAAATCTGATTCGCCAACGTTTATAACGGCTCTGGGAAGTGTGAGGCCTTGACATTTGTGGATGGTGATGGCATAGGCAAGCTTGAGGGGTATCTGTCGACGTGTACATTGAGCACCACCTGTACCCTCCCATGTGGTTGTCTGGGGTATTATTGGTAATACTGGGATACCATCATTGGTATGCCATGTTGAAGGTCCCTTGTAAGACGGAAAGGCAACCATCACCACTGCAGGGGTACATTGTTGTGGTGTGTCACCTGCGGCCAGGGCAATCGAATGGATTTGGCCAGTGGTACCATGTTTGCTGATAATTAGATGATAATACAGAGGGGAAAAAGAGCATGCATCAATTCTACAGGTCTCTATACTTATCATATTCCACTCACACGCAGTAAACCAGAGACGATCGAATAAAGTTCAGAGGATAAGTTGAACGGAGAAATATTCGACGGAAGGGGTAATTATCTAACGGCGGATCGGCCGTCCTGGCCCGATTCTATCGGCTAACATACCATTTGTCAATCCCATGGAAGTCCACAGATTACGAGTGAGCATTACTTGAGCTCCGAGCATGAGGTAGAGGATCTGGGGTGAACCTGCTGTGTTTTCGGATACTCGTGTTGAGTCGGGTCCAGTGGAGCGAGCAACTGATCGTAACACCGGCTTTGAGGCTTGAACGAGCGAGTTGATGTTGAGTTCAGCTACCATAGCAGATTGTGCACAGAGAAAGACCGCATTGTTTGCAAAGCTATTGCGTTCATCCACAGGGAGTCAGTCCCAGAATCGTTGTCAAAGGAGTGTGTAGTCCTCCTGAATAGGTTGACCCTCTCGAAGACGTGCAAGGGTGCTTTTGAAGGCTAAAGATGTTGGGTCTGTTCCTGCTTGCCGCATGACCATATTGAGCTGAATACTTTCACTGAAGGACAGATAGGCATATCGGCCTGTGTTGGACATCTGTTTCTGGTAACTGGTGGAGGGAAAGATGGTAGGGTGGTAAAGCGGAGTATCGGCAACGGGAGGGAGTTGACCAAAATCACCAAAGAGCAGGACACACAATCCTCCAAATGGGAGATGCTCTCTAGATGGGAAGATCCGCCGAAAGGTGTTGTCTATCAATCCAAGGGCACGTTGACCAATCGTACTTTTCTCGATGATGATGAGGTATTATACTGCCCGCCAGCTTTCTTGTAGATGACCTAATTTCCCTTGCACACTTGTCTGTGCCGTTTCAAGATTGATTCCGAGTCCAAGTGCTGATTGATACATCTCGCCTGCAATGTTGAATGCTGCAACACCAGTCAGTGCAAGTCGACAAACAGGTGTTGTCCTTCCATTGTCCGCATACAGTGAGTCAAGGGCTTGTGATAGAGCTTCAATGAGGAATGATTTACCGGTTCCAGCAAAGCCATCGACATTGAGAACGGAAGGGAGGGATAGCTATGTCAAGGACTTGCTGCCGAGCATGGGCCATGACTTTGTTGAAGACTTTTTGTTGATTTCCGTTCAAAAGTGTGGGGTCAACAGCTTCACGTATGACAGCCTCTGCACCCCGCTCTCATCAGCCTAAGTGTGTCTTTCTCACGACTTACCATCTGTTTTGCAATCCCAAGGAAGGCTGTACGCTCCTTCAAACCTTCATCACCCCATTCTATCAGTGTCTGGTGCCAGTCCGCTTCAACATCAATGAGTCGTGTGCCCAACTGCGGACCCTGCAATCCATCCCAGTCCATCTCCGGTCCTAGTCCAGCATGTTCCTGCCAATCATCCTGCTCTTGTATCTCCTCCTGCTCCTCATCTTCTGACCACTCTGAAGAGTCACCTGCATGTTGAACTTGCTGCCGTCATGGACGTTTAGGAAGTGTATCTTGATGACCATTTGGATGGGCCCCTTGGCAACATGCGTATGCCATTTCCCAAGTCTTGTCCTCTTCCTTGAGTTCATTGGGATTCCGATGAGGATGATGGAGGAGTAGTCTGGCTCGACACCAGTCCTCATTTTCATGGGACTCAGAGGCTCCCGGATGGTAGAGTGGCCATAGGATCACAACAGCAGCATGCTGTCTATGAACAATCCTTCCACGAACCCGCCGATAGCTCTGTGCCCACTCATACAGAGATGTCCTTGTACTCATCTGCACACTTCTCATAAGCATCCCTCAAATCACTCTCCTCAACTGGTTCACCTTCATCTACCCCATTCTCCAAGTCCTGCCTCATGCGACGTTTCCGATTTGCTAACAAGCGTAACGACACAAATTCCCGGGAAGCTGACATCATTTTACATTGAAGAAGGATGTGGCAGACCTCGTGGGCACTCCGATCCCTTTCGGTAATGGTTTGACTGAGGATTTTCTGATAGACAACTCTTGCTGTGACCTCCTCCTCAAGTCGCTGGGCAATACTGATCATCACCTCACTGAACATTATTGAAGGCTTTTCTGCTTTTGAAGCGTACCTGGCAATATATGTTGCCACCGCATGGGGATCAGTGCAAGGACTAATGTCGATATTGGCGCGCCAGCCAAGCAATAGGACTGGATTGTACTGATTCATGACAGGAGAGTTGTGAAGGATAGAAAGAGATTTATTGCCGCTTGCATTGAGCGACACTGTCAGCTGGTTGCGATCCTCTTTGGGAAAGGAGAAGCGGCACTGTAGTGGTGCATCGGGGGGTGAACCCTTTTTCCGATGTAGGCAGTAGGAGGAGCACTTGGAATGTTGCTGAACACAATTGAGAATTTGAGCCAGGTCTTGATTTGTGAAGGACAGATCCCGGAAGGGAACAGAGGAGGGATGGACTGATGCGGGAGGCTCCTCCGGTTGAGGGTTGATAGCCTTGATTCATGGTGCCCAGAAATCAAGGAAGGCGGAGATGGAGTCTGGATTGTGAAGATTGAGATCATCAGGCGAGGGTGCTTGATCCAGCCAGATGAGCCCATGAACATGGCTTGAGCTGTGATGTTGCCATTCATATCGAAACCAGTGATCCTTGACCTTGAAAAGAGGGGTTATCACATGTTTGAGAAAGAGTGTCCATCGTCTTTGAACCCACCAAGCAGCAATTGCAGGGTTGTCAATGATGTTACGTGAGTTTCTCTTTTGCCGCTCTCTCTCATTGGTGGGTAGGGGATCTGCTTGAGGCATGTGCCAATGAAGATCTGGCCATTGAACATCTGCAGCCGAATGTGTGATGAAGGCATGGGGTGTTCCAAGCTGGCGGATCATGGACTGGAGATTCTTGCTTTGTTGACTCCAATATGGCGGTGTTCCAATCAGAGAGCTGGCAGCTCGGCGTACTGGAGTAGCCAGGTCTCTGGCATCTCCTTCCAATAGCTCAGCGAAATCCCCAGCAACCAGACCTCAATCCTCCTCGTTCCGACTGACATAGAATCTGGCAAGCTTTTTGGTTCTCCACCGCATGAGGCAATTGAAAGCATAATATCTGTTCACATTAGCACAAGTATGGATGAGCAGAAGAGCTCACCGGAAGCGTGGATGAGCTGCAAATATACCATCCTTATAACGTATGAGGTGATTGAAATACTCTGCTTCACTGACCCGATGCTGTCGATCACCTCAAAGATGACCTAGGCCTGAAGGGTAGAGGAATGGAAAAGCCTTTCTCAGGAAAGAGATTGACTCGCCTGCTCATTTACAAGAGTTGATCTGATGATTGGAGCCGAAAGGACGATATCTTGCTGGACGATATTTTGCAGCACATTGCGTGTCTCGGTGATGACATGCACCCCTCCACCAACATTTGGAATCACTCCTTCAGTGACTAGTCCAGCTTCCACGTTGTCCTCATCTAGGATGGGACCTTGATCACTGTCATTTGATGTGTTGGAGTCCTCTAATACTGTAGATCGAAGTTGATGAAAGACCGATCCATTTTCAGGAAGACTTGCCAATGTCTGATGATCTATCTCAACAGAGATGTAATCAGGATGAAATCGTTGTAGCGCTAGGAGATTCTGTAAAACCCTTTCATGTTTGACTTGAAACTCGGGACGTGTTGCAAAATTGTCAACAGCAGTGGAAGAGGTACTGTGTAATGCATACGCCTCAAGGGTGACGTGCACTAAGCTCTTGTGCTAAAAGATCCAATGCTCAGCTCCACCATGACCAGGGTTCAACTCCCTGTGTGTGCACATTCTTGAACCCACTTCTTTGTGGCACACAGAGGCTTGTGGCAGTGCCACATTCTGGGATCTAATTTGTCATGGGAAAATCTGTAGGAGGATTTTCGGTTCAGAAATTGCTGGCTGCTGGGACATCAGCCCTTGAGGGGGGGCTCCTGTCATAAATCTTGAATCTCGGTCACAGCATGTCACGAACTACGTCGTGACACCTCGATTATTCCACCAACAATGACCCTCCTTTGACCATCAAAACCCCCATCACGCCTTAACCTCTTTACTTTACACGTAACTCAGGACATCTGAGACCAAGTACGGCGAAGTTAGACGGAGTTAGGCTAGGTAGGGACAATGGGAGCAGAAGTGCGGCGAAGTTAGACGGAGTTAGGCTAGGTAGGGACAATGGGAGCAGAAGTGCAGCAAAGTTAGACGGAGTTAGGCTAGGTAGGGACAATGGGAGCCGAAGTACGGCAAAGTTAGACGGAGTTAGGCTAGGTAGGGACAATGGGAGCAGAAGTGCGGCGATGTTAGGCGGAGTTAGTCGAAGGAGGAAGAGGATGGCCGGGGACTCGGGGAAGTTGGACGAAGTGCGTTGAAGTACGTCAAAGCGCGAGAGGGTTGGATGAACGTCTAGGAGGAATAGATAATATTAGCTGAGAAGATCGCTGAAGTTCTTCAGCGATCCTTGATTGTTGTCAGTAGTGAAAGACAGATAGAGATAGCTATATACAGATAGAGATAGCTATATACAGATAGAGATAGCTATATACAAATCGAGATACATCGCCATCAGTAGAACAAAACCCCAGTTAGAGTAACTACGCCGAAGTACGCCGTAGTTACACTCCTTTCGACGTCTGCGCCCTCCCGGTTGGGTGAGACATCGACTTAGAAGCGTCAAGTTAGCCGAGGTTCGTCGACCGTCGGTCTGTTAGAAAGTAGTTGTTCGACGGCCGTGACACAGCACAAGCAGTTTATAAAGGGTCTCAGCTCATACTATGAGCTGAGCATTGGATCTTTTAGCACAAGAGCTTAGTGCACGTCACCCTTTAGGCGTATGCATTACACATTCATATGACAAAGATCAAGGCTGGTGAAGTTCACAGCCCACAAAGTTAGTGGCCGTTGGTCCTGAGAAGCAAACAAAGAAACACCCCTCTGACAGTCACTTTGTTGGGTGGGGCTTCATTGTGAGTGCTCTTGGTATTTTCAGATCAAATCCGGTGTGGCACAGAAACCTCTTACGAGCAGGGCTGGTTGTGTCAACAAGCGGGGAAGTTCTTCTTCCTCTAGGGCTTTGCGCCCGTGTTGTGTCGCTGATTTCATTTGCAAGGAACTTTCAGTTGTCTTTGAGACCAATTGTTCCCCCTCAGTAGATTGTTGTTCTTCTTCCACGTTCATCTTGACCGCTTCAGTAAGCCTTTTGCCCAACTCATTCCCTTCAATATGCACAACATTGTTGATTCAAACTTCTTTGGACACATTCTGGGTATCATCATAAAGAAGGAGGTATCTGGGCAACGGATCCTAAAGAATGGCAAAAACATCACGACACCTGTGTGGTTCGAACACACGCGGGAAAACCCAACCGCTCGAAAATTCGGTAGCAAGCGATCGCCTTAACCACTCGGCCAAAGTGTCAACATCCTTTTTACAAGATTTGCAGAACTGCGTTTATATACCATATCCCCACACCGAGCCTCTCCCCACCATTTAGACTACACCCCCATCCCCTCAAGGAACATGCTTGCAATAACCATTCGGTTCGACGGCCGGCCTTGGGAACCTCAATACCAGATTTCCAACCTCGACAAGCCGACAAGACTGTGAAGAGGAGGTCATCGGAATCACGAACGTTAGCATTTTGACGCTTCACTTCCTGTAAACACCTTCCCTCGTGCACCTCTCACCTCGATATGTCGACCGGTGCAAAGCAATACAAAGCTATCGGAGTTAGTAAAACCTGTGTTCCTTCTGAGCTGCTCTGACATTCTAGGATGACGTATGGAAGCGTACCGATAAGGTTGTAAGCCCACTTCAACTAACCGCCGAAGGTCTCTCGGGGTGAGATTGACTTATGACAGAATGCGGAATTGTTCACTTTGACATATGGAGCTCTCGTTGTTCAACTCATCAAAGTGAGTGTCTTCTTTTTCCTTCTTCTTCTTCTTCCTCAATCTTTCAGATTGGTGTTTAAAACTAGCCTTGATGTGCTTCCCCGTAATGATCCTCTACGGGTTTAAAACGATGGTGGTCATGGGTGAAGACTGACCATGCAGGATTATGAAGACTACGCGGAGGTGAACAAACAACTGGATAAGATGTACATTCCATCTTTCAAAGTGATGAGAAAATTTGACGATTTAGGGGATATAACATAGGTACTCGGTTGATAGAGGATTTCCTAGCACGAACAGGTTTAGGAAGATGCGCTACGTTCGCAGAGACCGCAGAGGTCATTTCGAAGGTCTGTCTCATTTCACCCACCTTCATTCCATTTATATCTCATGATCTCGTGTTTCAGCTCCTCATGATGGTCGTTCTCTCTTCATTCCTACTTGTCCCGAAAAGAGCGTTTGGCCAAGGCGAGAGTAAAGCCTGTGGAGATCATCAGCTTGGAGGTGGAGAAGTGGAACGAGTGAAGGAAATTGACTGATATGCCCAGGTTGCATTCAGAACATTCCTCAATATTTCTCCTGCTGTTTCTTTCCCTCCGCCTACTCAGAACCCAACCTCAAACCTCCCGCCGCCTACCGAGTTCATACTGACATTCGACGAGAACCCCTTGGCGGAATTCGCAGAGCTTCCGCGGGATGCGAAAGAGGGAGGACTTTGGTTTTCTAATGTTCTCGGTGGTGTCATACGTGGAGCTCTGGAGATGGTGAGTGGAGTCCTCCTGCTTCTACCAATCTTGTTTTCCACTATTTTCCATTAGGCTCAACTCGATCACGAATGCGTGATTCGGATGGAAGAGACGCAAGCATGCTCATAGGGCAGATACAACTTCAAGTCGAGACGGAATTTCTTAGCGATGTTCTTCGGGGTGACGAAAGCACCGAACTTCTTGTTCGTCTCGTACGGGTCTTAGACGAGGAGCAACCTGAGAATGATGAGTGATACATGATCAGTGAACATAACGAATGATGAATCTAATGCATCGTAGCCGGAACACAAGATATGTCTCATTCATACTGATACTCCCCACCATATCTTTTCCTGGGATCCGGCGCGACAGGCGTTACCTCACTAGATCCATTCGATTCCGTCCGCATTGGTCTTCTCCCGAAATCCGCCTGTGGGGTTTTTTGATTCTCCTCAAAATTGATCAAACCATCTCCTCTCACCGTGGCTGTCCCAGTCAAAGTACTCACGGTCGTGTCAATGGTTGGTGCGTAGCTAGAGTCTTCCGTCCTTAACCCAGTCATGCTCTGACTAGGCGTGTTGTCTTCCTCTTCTTCCTCGTCAACCCGCACACTCCACCCGTTCTCCGCACTCGCCTCGGGAGCGAAAAACATAGATGGTCGGCTGGACGCCCGCCACCCACGTCTCCGAAGACGACCAGCGGCGGTGAGACTGGGACCTCTGCGCAGAGGAGGAGGGTTTGTTGAAGTGGAAATATTCTGCTTGATGGGAGAACCGGTCCTAAAGACATCGCCGGACGCCAAGGCAGCTGTATGGTGACGTACGGCCTTGCCGAGGATCTTTATCTGATCTCGAACTTCATCGTCGATACGGACGTCATCTAAGGGGTCTGGGGAGGGTACGAAGGAAGTATACTTCGCTTGTGTAGAGAGGACTAGAGACATTTGTAATACCCTCTGGAGGTCCGTTGAGTTGGGTTGAGGAAGTTCAAGTGACGTGGCAGAGTTTATTGAGATCAACGGTAATAGCCGTGATAGAAGAGGAAGAAGAATGTGAAGGAGGAAGCCGGAAAGAAGTAGATGTCGTACCGGTATGGGTGACGAGAGGGTTATGGTAGGTGCAGAAGAAGCAGGTGGGACATCCCGAACTTGAGTGAGAGGCAGAAAAACCCCTTCGAGATACTTATTTTCAGCGGATGACCTTGAGGAATGCAGATGAAAATACTCACTGGAAGGACTTGAGCCCAAAAGAATGACCATACTTCCGCAGCCCGTGAAACGACTTTGGCATCTTCCAACGTTTCAAACTTTGCTTGCAATGTTCGCATCCCGGATACGATGAAATCACGTAGATCCGAAGTCAGCATAATGACCAGTCGATTGGAAGGAGCCCTCTGAGCCGTCGCTAGTATATGGGAGTGACACAGTTGGCTGATAGTGTCATCTGTCATTCGTGCTATAGTAAGACGTATGCTCACTTCAGATCCTCTATGGGCGTCTTCAGTGGACCTCCAGCGAAAAGGGGTAGGGCATGGACCGTAAGGAGTGACCAAGGACTGTTAGGAGAAGAGTGATGAATGGCCTCCATCACGCTTCTTCCGTCCGTCTTGTTGACCGTAGGCGCAGAAGTAGGCAAGGCGGTTCCATCTGGAAGAACGACCACAGAGCTTCCCTGCTGACTAGAAACGGACGGTCTTCTGGATCTCGCACCCAAGTTGGCAAATGAAGTCGAGGACGCCATTCCGGGAGGATGAAGCAGAGTGGAAGTTGGCATGGCGGCTGTGTGTTGGGGTCCAGTGGAATTGGGAGATGATTGTGGTAAAGGCGGTAAATGTGATAACGTGGAAGACACCTTTACGGATCAGCATACTCGTGAGAAGAGATGGGGAAAGACTTACAAGCTTGTTGTCATAAGCCCCAGCTCCGAAGCCTCCTTTGCCTTGAGCCTTTCCGGGACTGACAGGACCAGAGCTGGGAGGTAAAGGAAGTCGTTTGTCATTCTTCGCTGGTACTGGCGGACCTTCTCTTGATACCTCTGTACTTATTCGAGGTCGCTCATCGTAAGCGTGCCCGGGGTTGGAATAGGTAGGAGAAGGAGGGAGTGTGAATTTACGAGGGGAAGCTAAGAGATTTGCTGGGAAAGCGAATGCTTGAGGGGTGGATGATGAGGGTTGATCTGTGGGGGAGGGAGGATGAATGGTCAGTGGAGTGGGTCTACGTAGATTAGAGCTAGACATGGTGAGCAGAAGGGTTGTGATAGTCTCAGCAAGTATTAGAATAGAGATAAGTAGTAGCCTACCCAACCCCCAAAGTTGTATAGAGGTTGACGACCGGCAAAGCTCTTGAGCCGATCGTCCACCGCCTTGACATGTGGGTGTTACATCTCGGTTCCTCTTTGACTTTCACTCTCTTTCTTCGTCACAGATCATGTTCAGCAACATGTCTTGTACCAGAGTTGGGAGGAGCATATCACAATCTACCAATCTACCGTACCTCGAAGACTTGCTACAGCTTCAAGCAGCCACCGAGAAAAATCAGTTCCCGCTCGAGAACGAGGACGAGATGGAGGGTCGTTTACGCAACGTACAATCTCAGATCACGGAGGCCAAATTGGACTGGGTGTACGTCGTCGTCTCTTTCATATCATTGATAGTCTGACAAGATTAGTGTCGTTCCCAGCGAAGACGAGCATCAGGTAAATTCGCTCCCATGGAATTGAAAATGGCTGAGACAGCAGTCGGAAGAAGTGGGCGAATCTGAGAAGCGTCTTCTGTGGATATCGGGGTGGGTTGCACCACTTAATTCGAGAACATCGACTTATGTTCTTAGTTTCTCAGGATCGGCCGGAACTGCACTCATTCCTTCGTCACACGAACAGGATGCACTTCTCTTCGTCGATTCACGTTATTGGGTTCAGGCGGAACAGCAAGTCCCCAAACAAGGCTGGAAAGTCGTTCGCGTGGGAGCTACCGGTAACGCTGGGCGTGATAGCGTCGTCTCTGGATGGGTAGATTATATGATTGAAGTGAGTTCAAACCTTCTGGCAAGCATGTGTTCCGCTCACAGAAGGAATTTCAAGATGGTACCAGAGTTGGAATCGACCCTCGCCTGATATCTGTCAGTAGGTCAAGTATCAGTGTCTTCTATGATATGACTTGACGAATTCAGCTCTCGCTAGAACCATTCAAGACCGCTTATCTGAATTCGCATCTTCATCTGGTCTCATTGCCACCTCTGACAACCTGATAGACAAAGTTCGAGGCCCCCCTGAACGCTCTTTGGGTCCTATCAACCCTTACCCTCTATCCCTCTCTGGAGAGACCACCACTTCGAAGTTGAAACGTATTCGACAGACACTATCTAAACGAGCCAGTGGATCCTCCTCCCGGTCTTATAAACCTGAATGGATCTACCTCCTTCCTACTCTTCCTGCCATTGCCTGGCTATTGAACTACAGATGTCCCTCCGATGTCCCGTTTTGCCCTGTAGCTTACGCATACCTGCTCTTGACCAAGACACGTTGTGTGATCTTTGTTGACGGGCGCAAAGTCGGTGATGAGCTGCGAGATAAATTGGAGATTGACAAGGTGGAACTTAGACCTTATGGAGTTGAGGAAGTGGGGAAGGTACTGCAAGAAGAGTTGTCAAAGCTCAAAGCTGCAGACGAGAAGAGTCATATCAAAGTTTGGGCCCCTAGAGAGTGTAGTTGGGCATTAGCTAGTACGACTCAGTCGGTAAGCTCGCTGGAGAGCGTAGTGCACTGAAGAAGCGCTGACTTGTCAGACGCAGGTGAATATCATACCTTGTCCTGTAGATGTGGCCAAGGCTATCAAGAACTCTATGGAGCAACAAGGAATGAGGAATGCTCATCTCCGAGATGGTCGGGCTACTGTACGATGGATGAGCTGGCTCGAAGGGAAGATCGTGAAAGACGGTAGACCGGTTGGTGAATGGGCAGCGGGACAGGCCTTGAATCGGTTTCGAGCACAAGAGGAATATTCTGCGTAAGCGATTTCGTTTTCAATTACTGTCATCACATTGATCGTTTCAGTGGCCTTGCTTTCGATAACGTCTCAGCTTCTGGACCCAATGCAGGTATGTAATCTTTACTATGGTTTTGTTCGTTCGTTGAGATGCAGCTTCTCCCCATTATATTCCCCAAAGAGGAACAGATCGTATCATAGATCCAGACACAACTTATGTCATGTGAGCTTCACCGGACCGTGCGGTTCTATATGGAGCTGACATATCTCAGTGATTCCGGGGGCCAATATCTAGGTTAGCTGCCCAAGATGCGGTGGAGTTTATGACAAGTTGATGTCCAGATGGTACGATAGATACCACCAGAACTCTTTACCTAGGCAAATCGCCTTCGGACGAGATTAAACGTGCCTACACTAGAGTCCTTCAAGGACATTTATCAGTCTCCACACATAATATTCCCAAGAATATGCCATCGGATCATCTCAATATGCTCGCGCGGGGACCTCTATACCGGTAAGTGTATCACTCCTCCCTCCGCTCTTCCCGGCCTTGACTTATTAAGTAAACCCTCATCCCCTCCCATCACCTTTGCGACTTGCAATCTCGACTTGCTAATCTTATCCTTCACTTGTGAATGTAACAGCAAGCAGGGCCAGATGGTTTGAGGATTGAGTCAGACGTGCTGATAATCAGCGACGGTCTCAACTTTGGTCATGGGATAGGTCATGGAGTTGGCACTTATCTCGCCGTACACGAATGTCAGTTGTTTGCTCTTTATAGATTTCGTAGCTCATTAACAGATCCTGTTTCTTTTCCACATGCTTTCTCATACGAACCTGGTCATATAACTACTATCGAACCTGGGTATTATAAAGAAGGAGAATTTGGTATTCGTATCGAGAGTACTTTATTATGTAAAACTGTCGATGTGAGTTTATTTTGTCTTTTCCCCTTTTTTCCAACTTCTCCGACCACCCCCTAGCTCCCAATCATCTTCTATACTCCAATCAAGAGTTCACACTGGGGAATCGTGACTTTTACAAGGACTGAACAGGGAGGAGGGTATGAATGACCAAAGCTGAAACTCAGACATTATCTGGAGCTAAAGATCAATGGTTAAATTGGGAACGTCTAACTCAAGTTAGTAGTTTTTTATTCCTGAATTGAATAAACTTTAATATGATAGGTCCCAATACAAACAAAAATGGTAGATTGGAAATTGATGACTAAAGAAATGATCAAATGTCTAAACGAACATAATTCTTCAGTGGAAGCTGCTTTGTTACCTTTGTTACAGGATGATAGGGATAAAGAAACCAGAGATTGGTTGAAAGTTAATTGTAAACCGAAAAAGATTTGGCCTTGGACATGATGGGTATAGTCTATTTTGCACTTCCTACCCTGTATGTCACCCAGACGTCGGAATTGGTAAGGGAGGAATGTGATACAGTGGAAGGTATTTGTTGTACAAGTTATCATATTGATACGATATGAAAAATGTATCATTCCATGAGACATGATCATTTCACATCCTCCTGGTGAGAATGAAAAGTCAGAAGATAAGGAAGACCAAGTGAGGTGAACTAAACATGAGGCAAAGATGAAGACTAGAGCAGAATTGCCATGGTCGGATACTGCAGGTTTATGAGGTATCAAATAACATTCAATTTGCATCATCTAACGAAATAACACTACAAAAAAGGGTTCTACAAGCAATTTTAACGAAGCGATGGGGTACTACTTATACTTTGATATTAGATCATTGACCATTTAATCAATTTCACTTCAATTTTTTCAAAAAAAACATCTCCTGACTTTGTCATATCTTCCAAACGCCAACTCCATACTTTCTGCTTTTCGATCCTTTCGAGGATTCAATTCCCAGTCCAGCTGTTATCAAACCCATCGATACATCCTCTTTGATAAGTAAGTTCTCCAACCGAAATTCGACATTTCCACTTCCGGGGAATGAACGAATTACGATTAAGTATGATCTGGTTCTAAAGCCGTAAAAAGGATTGCGTTAAACACTTTTTCCGATATATCAACACTCTCCACTTTTTGACCTTTTCCTCATCTGTGCATCGAGATTTTGACTTTGTCCTAATCCCAACCTTGCGGCTTCTTCTTCACGTTTACGTTTACTTTGACTTCCACTAGGTGCAACACCAGTCAACAATTTCTCCGCATCGTCAGAAGTGAAATTGATAAATGTTGTTTCTCCCCAAGAAAACGTTCCACCACTCGGAACGTGTTTACGTTTACCCGATGGGGATCGTTTGTTTGGTGAGATTCTCCTACTTTTTGGAGAAGGTAAACGAGCGATTGGTCGATGTTGAGAAAGTCCAGGATGAGGTGGGGGATGTACTCTGGGTGGAATAGGATAATAATGATGAGAAGGTGGAGGATGAATATTCATCAATGGAGTATGAGTGAATACTGGTGAAGGTTGAATTTGTTCATGTCCATGTTGAGAATAATGAACATCAGGATGATGTCCTTCCCATCTCATAGTTCTTGGACCAGGATGAGATAAACTAGGTTGCATAGCCGCAGAATGAAGTGGCGCTGAAACGTGTCGATGATAAAAATCATGTTGTCCTACATCTTCATTTTCTTGCATTCGGGCGTATGCTTGTGCTCTATAGATTTGTCCGTTGGAAATAGGATCCGTATAACCTCCAGACATTCTACGAGTGTGAGGTAATGGTTGACTACCAGACCTAGCCATCGGAAGTGCAGCTTGTTGAGAACGCAAATCGGCGAAATTGGCAGAGACAGGTGTGGGAGGTAAAAGTGAACCACCTAGGTAAGACGAGTGAGGAGGAGGGTGGATCTGAATGGATAATTGACGGTGTTGACTGGTACGTCTCGAACGGGGAGTAGGAGGTAGTCGAGGTTGATGATTAGGCCCGAGGGAATTATACGAAGGTGATGGTTCAGTGGTATAGAGCGGTTGAGGGGCAGGAGGACCACAAGGTATCTGTTGAGGCGTGTAAGAGAAGAGGTCGCGGTGTGGAGCGTGACGAGTTGGGACATAACCTTCAGAGGATAGACTGTGAGTTAGTTGTGAATCTCTCAAGTGTACAATTCTGCTACGACATCTGAAGGAGAAGGATAACAAAATAAAGACCACACTCACCTCCTCGACATCATGTCTGCCATGGGTACGCTCAACATACCGGACGCTTCTGCTCCAGGCGCCGAAACAGGTCTTTGACTCTCATCCGCTCCGTGCTGTGCCATGACCGCCATCGGGTTGATCGTCATTTCTTTCAAAGGTAAGTCGTAAGAGAGGCTACCTGTGCCTCCCAGATCGGGATCGTGAGGATGAAACAGCCAAGCCATTTCTTGTGCATCAGGTCCAGCCTCTAATCCCATCGAGGGTAGTTCGGTAGACGCATTGGCCGCAAGGGTAGCAGCTTCAATCTCCGCCGCATGTTGACGGAAAGCGTCGAATATCGTATCGTCCTGTTCCAATCCATTGAAAACCCAATTAAAGTCTTGCATTAGACTATCCCCGGAAGTTTCGTTTGGCTGTAATGAACTGGACGGCGTAGAAGATTCTGCCATAGCCGACTCGTCGAGCCATTGCGAAGGCGTTTGGGGAAAGAGTTGATCTTCTTCTTTGAGCGCGGGCATCGAAGTGATATGCTTGATAGCTCTAGCGTTACGTGCCGCTGCGCCGAGAGTAGGATTGGAAGCGACTCGTAAAGCCGAATGTGCCGCTTGAACAGCCGGACTAGGTGTGAAAGGTGAAGAAGCGGATGGTAAAGAATGAGGAGCGTCTTCCCAAGAGAAAGGGACGGGACGAGAAGAAGAAGAAGAAGAAGATACTAAATCCGAAGAATTGGCAAAAGCGGCAAAGGCTTCAGCAGAAGATTGAAGGGAAGGAGTGAGAGGGGTTCCCCAACTCTCTGAAGAACCGGACGAACGGGTGCTATGTGCCGTCTGTGGAGGTACGGAGCTCGAAGTTGTCAATGTCGGATTGGTTGAGAATGTCCGGTTTTTTGGAGTGGAATAAAGAGTTGAAGTAATTGAAGAACCCGCTTTCGAAGGAGTGTGAAAAATACCAAAGTCGACAATAGAAGATGGGGAATGCGGCTCAAGAGACGAGGTGTAGATAAGGAATGGTTGAGGAGAAGGTGGCGATGATGTTTCTGACCCATCGACAGATTGCGGTCTTATTGAAACAGATTCGATCATCGCCTCTGTGCCGTACTCTGATTCCGTACGAGGTATTAAGTCGTATTTTGCTGTGGAATTAGGAGAAGGCGATGACGGTAAGGACGTCATTGACAAATCGGAGAAAGATGAAAAAGAGATAAAGTCTAGAGGAGAAGGTTCGAGTAAACCTGGTTCGAAGATTGCGTCGAGCATCTTGTACAGGGGGTTTGAGAAAGTAACGATGTAGCTGTGTTGCGGTGTATGAACCGATTTGTATCTCCAGCCAAAAAAAAACGCGGTGGAGTTGGTGTAGGGACGTAAGGAGATTACGAAGATATATGAGGTTATTGAGGGACTAAAAGATGTCGGACCAGCGACAAGATTGTCGGAAGGAAAAAGTCGAGTAAGAGATGTGATAAGAGAAATGTGATAGGAAGAACTATCTTCCGTCAGCCTCAAGACTAGGCGATGTGGTGATGAGATTTAAAGAAGGTGAGGATGTCAAGTTGTACGGCACAGCCGTAGATCCGTATAGCTAAAAGGAATGTAAAGGATGATGTTGATAGTTGGTAGAAAAGATGTAGATCATGAATTGTCACCCACTAGAAGACGGATCAACGAAACCAATTTCCAGCTTTCAAGCGAGCCGAAGCTTCCAGCTGATGCTTGGAATAGGTCGGATTTGTCTTTCTTGTCCTCTTCCCACGCTCTGCGTATCGTCGGATGGGTGAAATGGCGAGGTTAAATGGATTATAGTGCTTGAGGGTTGGAAGAGAAGAGAAGAGTGTGCCTGACAAAAGGTAAAGAAAATCACTCGCCAACTGGGTGGCGAATATTAAGGAAAAAGCACGTTTATCCAAATATGATATGACTCGTAAGAAGTGTACCAGCCTTCTTTTGAATCCCTAACCTGGGGATTATATTATTCCGTATGCTTGACTCCCGCCTTCACTTTGTGGAAGAATGTCCCGAGAATTTGGCAGAGAAGATGGGA